CCGGGTCCTCCCAGCTTCACAGGAAGCATTGCCTGACCGTTTAATACACCTTTAAGATTCACGAGGCAAATACCGTACCCTTCTGCAGCTGCTCCTTGTGCTATCCCCGAGCCACCCACTCTGCCCCTGCTGCTGCAGAACAACCATATTGCTTATGCCCAACTGGTAGCCGCCAACTGATCCGGGAGAGGTGGTCTCGGGAGCCCCAAAGAGTAGTCGATCGCCAGACTGTTCCTGAGTCCGAACCAACCAATCAGCAGCTGCTCGTCAAGCGACCGGCGCAGCACCCTTCAGCCAACGGCACAGAGCTGTGCTGTGGAGCAACCACACCCTCTCAGCTTTTGCGTCATAATATCTGCTTTTGCTTGCGGCCACAAACGAGTTCCCCCAACTCCGGGCAAACCCCACAGTCGCTCGACGGGCTATGCGTTGCGCACAAGAAGATAGTCTTGAGAATTGTGAGGCTTCGTCAGTAGACAGCACAGCGCTTCTTCTCCCGTCCTTTCCGATGTTCATGGTGCGTAAACAAATGATGCAGAATGCACAATCCACCCATTTGGGGTAGCCCCCTGAGCCCCAGGCTTTGCGTTGCAGAGTTGCCTTGGTCGCGGCTGCTAGTCAGCTCTTTGAAACCCTGTGGTTCCACGCTGCATACAATAAGGCAGTCACAACAAACCACAGACGTTTCTGTCTGGGGAGCATGAGCGCCTTCCGTCGTCCTGTTTTTCTTCGTTCTACATGCTATGCTTTGCAATTATTCGTATGTGTCTCCTCTGCCAGACACATACCAAACACTGCAAAGCATACGCTCTAGAGCCTACCATACGCAAAACGGGGCATCAATAGACCGCCCCGTTTGGCGTTCGCTAGCAATCAACGAACATACACTCACCGACAAGTCGGATTGTGAGACAACCCGCTATATTGCTGCCAGCTTCCGTCTTCAACTCCACCGTTTTCTCTATGACGGGTCGACCTGCAAGGCCGTCAGCAAAGAAAGCAAATCGAGACAACTTATGGCCGAAGCATGGGAGATGTGTCTCAACGGATTATGCTAGCAGGCGAAAATTACGATTGCAGGAACACATAATTCCTGAAGAAGAGAATGCCTGTTTGGAGAACTAAGGGAGTGATGAAGCGGTATGTTGGCCTTACTGTCTCCAGTCTCGAAAAGCGCAGTCACATCCGCAAAGAAATTTTCCATAAATATCGCAGCGGCTTGCAAAATCTGCGGCGCACATTGAAATCGCAAAGGGATGAGGCGTAGTGTGAATGC